CCCGTGGTTATTCTTGTTATGTTTTTCAATACAAAAGTCACCGTTTTTAGAAGTCCTTGGCTGTAGTGAATTTAGCTGAACTAAAAACCTTGTCCTGAAGCTTAGCTGTTTCTTGTTGGCCGGCCTATCTGTGGTTGTGTGTTTCCTGGCAGGGGGAAATGACACACACACACACACACACACACACGCACACACGCACACACACATGCACGCACACACACACACACACACGCTGATTTCACAGGAATTCCTGCGAGGTCCTAAGGCCCATCACCCGCTGGCACGCTCTGCTCTGCTCTGCTCTGTTCAGGGAACCTTGTAGGTTCGTGCCGAGTTTTTCCCATAAAACCCTTTTCTCCAGCCTTCGTTGCCCGTTTCCCCTTCACGTGTCAGCACGCTAACCATGTCTGAGGTTTTGTTTCCTATTTTATGTCGAGAAGGCTCTGGGAGTCGCGTTCATGATCACGGCCATGAGGACCCCCTTAAGCTCCAGGGCAGGGTGGTGTCCCCTGTAGTCCCGGCCCCGGGTCAGCTGGCACAGGAAGATCATGATCTCCAGGCCAGCCTGTCGGTGCTGGTACTGAGCATGTTCAGAAGAAATTGGGTTCTGGCCGGGCATCAGTGCTCATGCCTGGCATCCCAGCTACTCAGGGGGCTGAGATCTGAGGATCACGGTTTGAAGCCAGCCCTAAGCGGGAAAGTCTGAGACTCTGATCTCCATCGAACCACTGGAAATCTTGAAGTGGCGCTGTGGCTCAGAGTGGTAGAGAGCTAGCCTTGAGCACAAGCTCAGGGACAGCGCCCAGGCCCTGAGTTCAAGTCCTGTGACCGGCCTCCTGCTTCCCTGCCCCCTGCCCCCTAAAAACTTGGGTTCTAATTTTCGAAGCAATTGACTCTGGACAGAAGCGACCTGTACCTGTCCAATGACTGCACTTCTTGTCAGTGTGTGTGTGTGTGTGTGTGTGTGTGTGTGTGTGTGGTGTGTTTTCCATAGTTGATGCAACCAGGGAGAGAGGGAGAGAGGGAGAGGAAGAGAAAGAAAGGGAGAGAGAAGGAAAGAAAGGTAGAAACAGCGTTGGCAGTAGAATAGCCCGCAGCCCCACCAAGACTTGGGGTCTAGTCCCCAGAAGCGGGCAAAACCGAGGGGAAAGCTGTGTGTGCGTGCGAGCGTGCATGCCACCCGCGTGCGGGAAGTCAGGACCAGACCGGCTTGCTTTCTTTTGTATTTGATGTATAAAGAAACACACCATCCTAACTCTGGACTTTTCTTCTCTTCCTTTTAAGGCTTCGCATTTCTTCTGGGGCTTGTGGGCCTTGATTCAAGCCAAGTACTCCACTATCGAGTTTGATTTCCTCGGGTGAGTACCTTCCTGGATGGCTGCTCTGTGCGGTGTGAATGCCAGCCCCGGGGGGACCTGGCCAGGGCCGGGTGTGCGTGCGGTCAGCGTGCGCGCGGTCAGCGCGCGGCCGTCCACCAGGGGGCGCAGTGAGCCCAGGCGCTGGGAGAGCTTTGACGGGCTGTTTCCTCTCTAGGTACGCCGTGGTCCGTTTTAAGCAGTACTTTAAGATGAAGCCGGAGGTGATGGCGCTGGGCGCGCCCGAGCAGGGCCGAGGCTGCACTGTTCTCAAGTAGCTGCTCTGGAGTTCGGTTGTGTTTCTTTTTCTTTTTCTTCTTCTTCTTCTTTTTTTTTTTTTTTCTTAAGAAATTCCAAAAAGCCACTATTTGTTACAATTGTTATTTAATCTGGTTCTGTTGCTTTACAAATTATGCCTCTAAAACAACCAATCTGTTTTTAAACTCGGACTCAAGGATGCCAAGAGCTAGACGCAGGGCTGTTCCCGCCGGCGTGGCTCGGGGGTGGGGGGCAGGGGGGGGTGCCTCCCTCTCCCCCCCATCGCTCTGTGTCAGAGGTGAGTGACTCACTGCAACTCGAACCCGAGCGTGACTGCGCTCATGTGTCACCTGTGCGGCGAGTGTATGCAACGAGAACGTTCTAGAACGTTCTAGAATGTTCTAGAGAAACACACATTTCTGTGGCTCTGTGTAGAAGGTTCATTTTTTAGAGGAGCGGTCTTGGTGGTTGTGTGAGCTCTGCTCTGTGCAGTGAATCACTTAGTCCACCAACGCCAGGCCTGACGCAGAAAAAGCACCTGTTTAGGAAGAGATCCGTTCTCCGTCTCCGCCAGGGGGCCGAGGACAGCCTTTTAAAGGAACTGTGAGACATTTACCTCTTCTTTGGGAAATACAACGTAGGACGCACTTGTCTCCTGTCCCTGTGGCGGTGTAAATGTTTCTTGGAGAAATGGGACCGAGTGCCAAACTCGGGGTGAAGTAACGATTTCAACTGTGAAATGTCGCTGGGTCCTACTTGTTTTCAAACTCTTTACCTTACCAAACGACTGGTCACCAAAACGTGCGTGCTTCTCTGGAGATTGTGTGTCACTTTCCAGTAACGGCCGGCACTGCTGATTGTCCTGGCAAGCAGGAGGGGTGCCGTTCGGGTGACTCTGTGTGTGTGTGTGTGTGTGTGTGTGTGTGTGTTGGGGTTTCCCATTGTACGCTGGCTCTGGCTTAGATGAGCAAATGATGACAAGGACCATTTACTTACACGCTGATCTTGCACACCTCCAATCTGACAAGTGAGAGAATGAGCAGGAAGCAGAAAGAACTGATGCGGGAGAGCTTGCGTGGTGGCGATCGGCCTGGCTTCTGTTGCAGTGCGGTTCTATTGGCTAGCGCAGGAGAGGGAGGGGTTTCCTCCGCCCGCCCGTCTGCACGGGCAGTGCTGTTGGAGCCTCGGGACCCAGCTCGCTCTTTGGGCAGAGTTGGCTTAGAGCAGCTCACCCCTCCGGGGGGCCCAGGGGCAGGGCCCAGACAAGCGCTTTCCAGTGCCGGCCCTAGCTCACGCTTTAAAGCTAATGAAGGAAAGACAGACAGACACTCACAAGGCTACTTCCCATGGTACCCTCTGGTTCGTCCATGTGTGTGTCTTTGAACAGTGTTAGACCAAGATTTGCTCTCTACCTCCCCAACCTTAACAATGTTTGCTTTTTTTTAATATATATATATATATATATATAAACCACATTACTGTAAGATCAATAAAATCTTTGCCTAGTTGATGAACTGAATGGAACCAATTAAATCACAGCTTTTTTTTTTTTTTGCCATGTCAAAAGTGAACGTACACATTTGCAGTGGGTAGAGATTTCACCTGGCTGGAAGATGATTCTAGAAAAATGAAGATAGAATTCTCTCTCTCTCTCTCTCTCTCTCTAGCACTTATTTATTGATAAAGCTAGACAAAAATCTTTGATTCCTTAAACCACAATGGTTATCTTACACAAACAAGGAATACGAGAGGATAGAATGTTCTTGAGTCTCTGCTTCCTGCCTTTAAAGTAGGAGTCGATTATCTTGGAGAAGTGTTGGGGGGGGCGGTCATTTTGCCTTGCCTTGTATGTTTCCTTCAAGCTGTGTTGAACAGAGACTCCCTGAGCCGCTGCTGGTATGGCTTGCCGCAGGGCTCCGCAAGGACCACCGGGCATCGGCGTGCCGGCACCCCAGGGACCCCCCCCCCGCTGCCCCCCCATGCCGGCCGGCTGTCCAAAGGCTGTGCAGACTGGGCAGGAGGGTTCCGGGATCCTCGACACCTTACGTCTGCGCTGCACCCCGCCGTCAGCCGCTGGCCTGGCCCGTGCTTCGTAAGCGGTCAGCTGCCTTCTTGCATTCACGCTGAGGACCTCGAATGCCTTACTCAGACAGACTCAGTCCCTGCGGACACGCGCGTGTGCCCCAGGGCACGGTGGCCTGGATGCTTTCACAAGCAAACCCCCCCTCCCCCCTCCCCGCCCGGCTCCTTGCACACTTGTGCGCACACCCTCCCTTTGTCTGGGAAGACCCGCCCCGTGTGGCTGTGACCCATCCCGCATCCCCCGACCCCTCGAGGTCGCTAGGAGCACAAAACTCACCAGCCCGGCCCGCCCAGAGTGTACAGAGCACCAGTGTAAATAAGGAGGCCGAGCAAATGGGGGTGCATGCTGTCTGTCTAGCCGACGGACCCGGGCCTGTCTGCACGCTCTTCCTCTCCTTGGACTTCTTAACTCTGTTAGGAAATGACCCAGACCCGCAGTGGCCCGCAGCGCAGCGGCCCAGGAAGAGCAACTGGAACCCAGAGCCTGCCGGTGTGTTCCTCAGCTTCTGCCTGCCCCCCAGCTCCGCCCCGGAGGCGAGATACAGACGCGAAGAGGAAGAGCTTTGCTTCCTTGGATCGCAGGCTCCGTGGAAATGGAACATGCAATTGCACCACTGCAGACTGAAGTCTCGTGACCTTGTCCTATTTGTAAGATTGCTCATGTTTACTAACCCCCACCCCCCAAGACCCCTTGAAATTCAGTGTGAAATGCCACACACCCCACAGCTGACAGCTCCCGTCCCTTGAGTAGACCTGCAAAGATCTGCAAAAGACAACGCAGCCTTAAGCCGAGTGCACATCCACAGAAATAAAAGGCGGGGAAAATCTCAATGACAAACATTTCCTCCCCCCAGCCCCCCAAAAAAATATCCATTTTGCTTTGGTTAGCCTCTGTCCCATTTCTTGTGATCTTGATCTCATAACGTAACTACTGTCAGCTTGACCCGCCCTGACTTGCCTTTGTGCTGCTCCACACTGCGCGATAAACCCATGCAGACGCCACGCGTCTGATCAGAAATGCATCAGGCCGCAGCTGGCAAGCTCAGCGGTGGTTGGTCGGAGGAAAACTGTCCGGGGCGTGACTTGAAGGATTTTGGCCACCATTGCACACAGAGAGACAAGAATGACAGGTGTGTGTGGGAAGACAGCGTTCTCTGTGCTGCAGGGTGGACTCGCTCTGATTTTCTTCCCTCCCCCTTTGGTCAGAAGGATTTCCTCCTGCACGCTGCTGCATGGGGAGTTGAGGTGCGCTGCAGGTTGGGGTGCGCAGGAGGGGGTGGGGCCCGGCCACCTGGGTGCTGGCTCCCCGCGGGCTGGGCTTGCCGCCTTAAAGCAGATTCAAAGGCATTCAAATGGCATCACTCCATTTTGGGTAACCTCTCTGGTGCACGGCTCCGGGATTCTTCTTGGGGGGGCTTTTGCCCGACTCGGAATACTTGAAAAGTGAAATCAGTGAAGATTTCTTACATAATGAGTTAAGGTATTTTTTTTTCCTTACACTTTTTTTTTTTTGGTTAACACGGAAATGTTCATTGCTGGTTCAAAACATACAACAGAGAGATTATCTAACTGACTTGGATTGGAACAAACAGTGCTATAAACCATTTCACACCTGGGGAATCCAACTCTTCCTGAAGGTTTTTTGTTTTCTTTTTCCCTCTCTTATTCTGTATGTGTACTCAGAATACTACTGACATGAGAGAACTGTTAAGATACTTTATCTTTCTCCCTAAATCCTCCTCCATCTCACTTTTTGGTTCTCTTACTCATGGATTTTGTGCATCCCATGGGTCATTTAAATAAAACACTAGATAGCGGCTTAGAAAAACAAGAAACGGAAACATCACAAACTGTAGTCCAAGCATTTGAAGAGGAAGGGTCAAAAACGAACCCTAGCTGATGGGAATTGCACACTTCCTTTGCATTGGTTACATTTCAAAACAGTAAGGAGCTCAGAGAGAGATTTGGAACCCGGCTCCTACATAAACCATCCAGAAAGCAGCAGAGGAGACGGAGTACTTGCTCTGCTCGCTGTGGTTCTAGCTGTGGTGCTCAAAGCTGAGTCGGACCATCCTGAAGTCAGTGTTGAATGCAAAGCGGTCTCCTTGCTCGTGGGTAGCCCAGGAAATGTGCAGAGAAGCAGCGTTTGGTGTCTCTCCGCCCTGAGCCTTTGCCTTTTGGCCGGGTCTAGTTTCCATGACACGAAGTATTTGACGTTTTCAAAAGAATACTGTATTCCAAGGAAGAAAAAAACATGGTATTAGCCCATGTGCAAAGAAAAAAAAATACAAATAAATGTCATTACGTTAGCTGTGTGTTGAATGGGGACTTTGTGTATCCAATGTGAACTCTAGTAGAATAATGCTGCTTTGTACATACTGGAAGTGCTAGAAAGTAGTCCCGGCACTGAACAGAGCCAGGCATTGGGGTGGGGGGGCCGGGGGGTCGGGGGGGGGGGTCCTGGCTGTGTCTGGGAAAGGACCTGACCGCGTGGCTGAGATTTGTTTTTGTTAAGTCTTCGTTCTGATGGAGATACTTCCTGGGTGGGGTTTGGTTTTGTTGGTTCCCTTTGCTCCTGTGTTGGTTGCCTGTGTCCCTGTGTAAGATTTCACTTGTACATTTTGATGACTTCCTAACTGAACGTGAACCTTGCTCTGGGGGTGCGCAGGCCTGCGCCCCGCCCCCCTCTCCCGGTGGTCCGGGGGCCTGGCCGGTGAAGGAAGCTCTTCTTTCTCCCCTGTTCGAGTCCCTTACATGGAGTTGAGCCTTCGTTTCTGTCCTGAGGCTTTCTACCATTGATTAGATGAAGGAATGTATCTTTTTGAAGAGATTTATATTCTGTAAATAAAAATCGGTTGTAACAATAAAGTTGGGTTCTAACTACAGCCTGTGGCTACGGCTTCGTCATTTTTAAATTCAACTTGTGTTTTGATATTTAGAAATGTAAGACTGTTCAAAGGTAGCAGGTAATGTATGTTTGGAGGGAGGAGGGAGGGAGGAGGGAGGGAGAGGAGGAGGGATGGTTATTGGGGCTTGAACTCTGGGCCTGGGCGCTGTCCCTCAGCTCTTCAGCTTGAGGCTGGCGCTCTACCACTTGAGCCACAGCGCCACTTCTGGCTTTTTCTGCTGATGGGGTGCTGAGGAATCGAACCCAGGGCCTCATGCATGCAAGGCGAGCGCTCTACCCCTGAGCCACTGCCCAGCCCCTGTCCCTGAGCTTTTCCATTCAAGGCCTTGCTTGCTCCTCTTGGTGGATCTTTGGTCTCTGTCTGGCTGAGTTCAGACCAGGACCCTCTTGAGGAAGACTTAGGTACAGAGGGCAGCCTGCCTGGCGGAAAGCGCCCACTTTTACTGCGACCATCGCCTATGACTCGATTCTCAGTAGACATCGCACATTGGCTTGCTGTTCACGGCAGCCTTCCTGGGCTTTAGTTACAGCTCACACATTGCAGATCTCTTAGGGTGGCTAGTCTACCCCATTCTTGTTTTTATTTACGCCAGCAAGGTACAGACATGAACGTAGCAGTACTGTCTGTCTGTCTGTGTCTTTATATCTCTATCTCCACTCTTTCTGCTCACCTCTATATATCTCTGCCTGCCTGCCTGCCTGTCTGTCTGTTGGTCTGTCGGTCTGTCTGTCTGTCTCAGCTCTGGTGCTGGTGGCTCACACCTGTCTTCCTAGCTTCTCGGGAGGCTGAGATCTGAGGATTGCAGTTCAAAGCCAGCCTGGGCAGAAAAGACCACAAGACACTGATCACCCATTGAAACCACCAGAAAACTGGATGTGGTGCTGTGGCTCAAGATTATAGAGCGCTAGCCTTGAGCAAAAGAGCTCAGGACAGTGCCTAGGCCCTGAGTTCAAACCCCACCACGGATAACACCCCCCTCCATCCCCTCAGGTAATGAGCACCCCCCCAACTCCCCATGTTGTGTTTAAGTTTTCAATTGTGATGCTAACGGTGGACCCTGCCCCCCTTCCCTCCCTCTCCCCCACTTTGTCCCTCCCATCCCCACCTACAAATTCCAATGGGAGATTTTGGGGGTGAAATCCAATTTAAGAACATTCCTACACTTCGGGAGCCTCCAGACCCCGGGGCTCAGGGGAGGGGAGCCTAGGTCTGGGCAGATCGGGGTCCTGAGTCCTGCCAGGGTGCCCCGGTGTGCAGGTGGGGTTGGCAGTGGGGAGATGTGACCGACCCCCCCTCCCCCCCTCCTCCCAGGCCAGCCGGACCTGCAGGTGCGAGGTTCCACGTCCAGACAGAACCACCCAGCCATGCCACCTCTCCTGAATTTGATTATTTATTTGTTTTATTTAGGCTTGTTTTTTGTGTGCCAGGCCTGGGACTTGAACTCAGGGCCTGGGCGCTGTCCCTGAGCTCTTTCACTCAAGGCTGGTGCTCTACCACATGGGCCACAGCACCACTTGTGGTTTTCTGGTGGTTCAGTGGAGATCAGAGTCTCATGGGCTTTCCTGCCTGGGCTGGCCTTGAACCTTGATCCCTACATCTCAGCCTCCTGAGTAGCTGGGATGACAGGCAGGAGCCACCAGCCAAGTAGAAATGGGA